AATTCACGTACCTCACCAACGACCACTCCCCATAACGTGGGGTGAGTGATCATTGGGCCCGAGAATCATGTGCCCTGAGCAAGCGCAGTGAGCCAAGAATGACAGCCTTCTGCATCTGTGCGGCTCAGATTCCTTATTATTATTATTAACCCCCTTCAGATTTTATTTTGAATGTATTGAATGTGATAATGTTATCACAAAATGATACAAATATCGTAAATTCTCATAGAATTCATATTTCTAAAATGTCAGTAGGTGTGGATTGAATTTGAAAACATCAAAAAGATTAGGACTTGTTATGTAGCCAATAAAAATATAATTGTTTATTCGCTCAAAGGAGTATGAAAACCCTCGAGAAAGCTATTGTATAGCAAAACACGTTTTCAAGTTTTGTAAGTTTTGTACATTATACCGCTGTACGTTTCTATCTGGTACTATATGATCAATTGCGATTTCTATCGTATGACGTTATGATGGAGTAAATTTCTGTGTATTACCATTTCTATCTTGTACATTATGATGCATTAGGAGTCCCCGTTTTTTTGTAAACTGTCCAGTAAAAATATCATAAGCGTTATATCGCTTGAATTTTTTATTTATTAAATGATAGATTCAACGGTTTCTTGAACGATACTGTTTTATTTAATGTTGCTGAAGGCAAATTTGAAAATTACCTTTTAGGCAACTTGAAATGAAAATACATGCTACATCGATGTTAGTAAATCTGATGAAGTCTGAACAAGTATTTTACTTGCTGAAAAAGGGCAAACATTCTGTTCCACCGATAAAATTGATATAAAAAACTATGCAAAAATAGTTTAAAATTTCATGTGGCAAGGACATAGTGGAGCCATCTCCCATAGAAAAGATTAACTTATTATTACTCATTCAAATGAACATAAAACTGTAAATGTGTAGTGATGTAATAAGCTTCGTCAACGAGTTACGAGGTGGAGCGAGGAAGATGTTTTGTCATACGCTCATGAAAGGATACATACCCTTTGTATATAGACTAACCCATACCCTGAAGAAAAGCAACCCCATAGGTATCTATGAACCTGTGTTGTTGTAACCAACTGTGATCAAAGAAATAGAGGAGTAATAGCAAAATATAAACACACACACACACACGTGTTGGGGGTTCGAATCTCTGCGATTGATACGAGTATGTCTGCGAATGATCCTAGCATAAATTCAAGAATACCGACTTCAAAGGAATCATTGGTACGTATACGCAGAACTGGTATATACTTCGAATTGAAGGATATTCGTGGTTGATATTTTAAAAGTTCGATATACTTGAAAAACGTATCAAAATGAGAACATGAAGGTCAGTTTCACCAGTACTGTACGTACGCTATAGCCGGGATATAATATTTGTACTTCATCTTCAGTTTACTCCGTTTCGAGTAACTCGCCTACTTGATTCTGACGAAACTATCAGAGTGAATCAATGCCATCATATGGAACCAGTCGTTCCACATAGATGAAGAGTGGTTTGCTCCTTGCCATTAGATGGATGCAATTCATCTTCTTGGTCACCAAGTAGGGACTTCTTCATCTCCTTTGTAACTTACGACAGTTTTGTTTTTTTAGGATTGGTACAATACAGCTTCTTCTCAATTGAACTCTGTGTCCTTAGAACTTTATATGAATGCTTCTTTATTAGCTTTACGACCTTCATTTACAGGTGCCAGCTAATCGTTTCATCGTGCAGTTCTATCATTCCATGTAACTGTGTGTAAAGTGGGGTCATACGTGTCTTCTAACTCTTAATGCTGGTATGATTGCTACAATCCTTTTTCATAATGTGAGTGGATTTTTAATGCTGGTATGATTGCTACAATCCTTTTTCATAATGGAGTGGATTTCTGAGCGCACTTCATATCTGGCAAGCACTTCATTGAGGACTATAACTGTTATCGTACCAGCCTCATCATTCAGAATGGGAACAATCCCAACGTTTTTTGATAAATAATCAATTGATATCACCAGGTATTTGCTTTCGTCACTCACGGTAAAACATTCATGTATATCCATAAGGAATCCGAAAGGGGGTCCGAACAGATATATGATATGATTTTTTGGTCCTGTGTCATGATTCCTTTCATCAGAGCGTAGGAACTGTGTGCTTACCTTCCACAATCTGAAAAATAAACAAAGTTCAATCAATAGAGAAGATAATCTGCTGAAGTGTACTAAAGGTAAAAAGTTACTGCTTAATATAAGCCACTGAAGAGTCCAATTAGTTAGTAAGCCGTCGTATTCATGAATTTTTCTTACAAATTGAAAAAAATAAAAATTCTATCCTTAGCTTTTTTTCAAAGAATATTAATCCGGTATTATTTCTCAAGGATTCATGACAGTGTTATCCATGTTGAAGTGCCCTCCAGCCCGGCTACGTCTGTACTCGCAATGAGATCAATTTGAGCACAACCTCTTACCTAAACTTTCCCACTTCCGATGTAATAGATCATTGCATAGGTATATGGAATCCCACTAAGCTCAGTTAGCTTCAATAATTCCATTGGAAGTCTAGAAATCTGTTGGCAACAATTTCAATTTTTTTTTGATGAGTCAGCTTGGAACAAACTTGGTCATTGGTGAATGAATGTTTGTGACTCTTTCTTATCTCTTTCATTGTTCATAGGTCCACACCTCACCTGAAGTGACATATATAAGCTGCTTGCAGTGTAACTTCTCTTGAATGATGAAATCCTTGTTATACGGTCGTTAGCACTAGTTGTTTGGAATATGGTGTCCTGAATAACTTTTCCGCATTATCATCCGTTTAATCACTGCGGTTTATTATTTCTTCCTCACCTTATCTGAATCCAATTCTTCGATTGTGACGTATATTAGCTACTTGCAATGTGACTCCTCTGATAGAATCCTTGTTATTCGGCTGTTAGCTATAGTTGCATTACTGTTTGGAACATGGTCTTCTGAATAACTTTCATGCATTATCATGCGTTTAATTACTGTGGTGCATAGTCGTACTACTGAAGTTTTTCTGGCCACCTTGCAACATAACCCTCCGGATTCTATGACATTTAGTTTTACGATAAAACTGAATCTCAATAGGTACCTAGTTGTAAAAGCGTTCAAACTATTCCACAATGGCTTGAAACTCGTTTCTGGTAATGCAGTGATTCCACTCGACTTTACCCAATGTTTTACCAAAATAGCTATTACTTTCTTTTCATAATTGCGTATTGGGATGCATAAGAGACAAAAATGAACTCTTCTGGAAAGCCCAACATGGGAGCTGTTATCCTTTTTTTTCAGTTGACTGAAAGAATACTGACTGAATCGGATGTTCTCTCTATCAACCAGTGACGAGATTTGGTAATTTGTCCAAAGTCTTTCATGAAATTGATTGTATTTGCACACTCCAAAGAAGCTCCGTATCTCGTGTTTATCTCTTTGTCTAAATTTTTGCTGGGTAGGTTTTACTCACTTCTCCACGATTGCATCGACAAAAAACTTACCTGCTTCTGAAATATTTTATACTTGTTAAGATTCATTTTCATCTTAATAATTCCCCTTCTAATATCTCTCCAAGATTTGAATTAGTCTTGTTTTTCCTAACACGTTTAACTGGTCCAGATGAAGAAGGCAGGTTTTCCACGTGAGACAACTTGGAAACAAGTTCCATTAATCATTCAAAAGTGTCTGATTTCAAAAGTGCCTCAAATGTACATTAAAAAAATACAATAGGAAGAAGACATTCCGTGGTAAATAAATACTTACTACCAAACAAAGCAAGACTTGGTAATAGTAAAACTAACCTGTAAATAAATATATAAATACAAACTGTCCTGACAGCCATTTTTAATCAACATCATATACTTCACAGTTAGTAAGTACCTATCAAAAGGTTTTTTCCAGCATCCCCTTCAGAATAAACACATAATTCACTTCTAACTTTTTTGGATTTGGAACTTTCTGTATTGTTTGTGAAGCATCTAGTATATTTTTGTGTACATTTCCAATAACCAACTGCAGTAAAAAAATCAGTGAAGAATTTTCCTAGAATTTCTGGCATTATTATTATGGAAATAATTCATTTTTAGAAATGAAAACTGGATACTTTACAAGCGTCAGTAACACAAACACGTCGATAACACAAACAAATAGAATTTGAACACAACGATACTGAAAACGGACATAATAATAATTGTAAAAATTGTTCACCCAGCAAAAGTAATGAAAAGTATGAGTTAAAATTCAATAAAAATAAAATAAGATGAATATATAATCCCATCGTTCTCTGGTAGGGGTGACACCACTTCGCGGTTAGATTGTTTTTATTATGTTCCATGATTCCATGAAGACCTTTTTACCAAAGAGAACAAACACATTCTCTGACTGACTATAAATATTCCATGATTTCAGCATATTTCAGTACTCGATGCGTCATCTATTGGTTGGTAGAGTGAACAAGCTCCTAATAGAATGTCTGTTCAGAATACAATGTACATCTAACCGTGTTATGGGGTAAATAATAAGTGCAAGAAGACGTTAGTAGATGTCGCCAGCGATATCTGTCTGTTTGAAATCTGTTTTCCGTTAACCAGCTAAACTAAATAATATATATTATAAGAAACATGAAGTTTCCGTTAATACAGAAGATAATGATTTTTCTCAACTTTCCTTTCAAACTTTCTGTCTTGAAGTTCTATCTTGAGGTTGAACATTTACCTAGTATCGCAATAACCCTAGTAATCCTCCGTTCCAATCATCTGACATGATAATGCTCGAATTAACTTAAATTTGAATCTTCCAAAAATATTAAACAATTTTTGAAGCAACAATTATTGAATTTCATTTGAGATAAAATGAACCACACCCTCAAAATTAGAACCCTTATAATTTGAATAGGATCATAGAATTTAGGGTAACTTCCACACAAGTTGGCAATGCCACAGCGTCCCAAAACGAATCAACCAATGTGAACACTGTATTCGACTCGATCGGAGTCGGAGATACATTCGCCATTTTGATTTCTGATTGTGCGCGTTTTAGTTGTACAAAAGTTGGTCGGTTTAGTGCACGGCAGAGTGAAACTGAAATTTAGTGGACAAATTTTAGGGAATATCTGTTTGACAAGGTATGTTTTTATTGAATTTGTCAATTAAAGTTAGTCCCAAATGTTGTCAAGAATTAATTTACTAAACATAGGTTAAAACTACTGTATAGTATTCGAGATTTGAGTCATAAATTTGTGACAAAGCCAGCCGGTTTTTGTCGCATGTTTTTTTTTGCCGTTACAAATACGTTTTTCAAATTATTAAGAGATATGTAGTATGTGCTTAGTTTTGTTATTTTCTAAATTATGAAGCCATATTCATGATTATTGACACATTTGAAAAATGTAGATACTTTTTCATTATTAAATATTCTTTGTTCTCCTCATTTAGCACTGGATTTGATTGAATTTACACTTTCTGTTTACCAATGCGAGAATAAGTCTGCGAATTGTGTTTGGAATAAATACATATAAGTGAAGACAGCTGGTGTCTAAAGGGCGCAGTCGATTTTCTCCACATGTTTTATTGTAGTTTGCAGTCAAAAATATTTTGTGAAGGTTTTTGTTCTGCGTTCAAGAATTGCAACTTTGGATTATCGTGTCTCATGTTTTTCTGCAAGTCTCTATATCTTCAGAAAATGACCGAAGAATCGAATATATATATTCATGGGAATAAGTTAGATTCAAGGCCACATTTTGTTTGGAGCTGGGATGCGTATTAAATTCAAATACGTCTGGTTTGTGTCTGATTCAATACCGATTTAATGTGAAGTGTGAAGTAGGCTGAGATTGAAGGGAGATGAAAATATATGATTGAAGTCTAAATTCCTTGCTTTATATTCTCTACCCTTAACAAGTTTTTTCGGGCCCACTAAAAGACTGCTCATAATTCAAATATCACCTATAAATAGGTATCATAAGTAGATATAAACGTAATTTAACCTATTAATAGGACAGGCCTGGCTCATTGGTCTTCTTCACGGGCCGGCTCAGCTTGCCATGAGAAGAATGTTTATGGTTCAAATTCTCATTCATCAGTATTTTAGTATATATAGAGAGTGAAAGAAAAATACTTGAGCCATATATGGAAATATTCTATGAAGAGTGCTTTCTGCAGAATATTCAAGATATCATTTTTTGAAATCATAACATTTGTTGTCTTAACTCAGTTTCTCAAAAATGTCAGAAGGAGGTTTCGATATTAGTTTATTTAAATTTTAATATTTTCGACTTTTATGATTAAAAGACAAGTCAGACGATTTCCAAGTAATGGAAAAATTTGTAGAGAAAGGTCATTGAGAATTTCATATTTCGATTTGTTACAGGTGAGTACAATAAGATATTTTAAATATATTCCAATGTATATTTCGTTTTCGGCCGCATATACTTATTGTGTTCCTACTCCCATCTTTTCATTGCACTTATCCCAATAATCTTGTTTTTTTTTACTAGTTCATACCTTACAGGTCTTGTTGAATATTTGTTATATTATTCTCGTCTTAGTTTTGATTGTACATGAATTGTTTGCCTATAATCCAGTACATTACATTCTAAATTACAAATTGAGCTGTCTAAGTTGCTTTGTTGCGTTTTCTGCTGCTAAGGTACCTCTTATTTTTGTCTACTTCATTGGTTTAGAGCTAATATATAGGGTTGAGGATTCGTGTCTAACGACCTCATCAACTTTTTCGTTGCCGCGGTCTACTACTACTGTTGGCAGTGTGTTCACTTCTTCGTAGCATTCTTAGACCAGTCTACGTAGATCGCAACCCGACTTTGAAGAAGATCTTGCTTCACATCAAGGGTAATATATAGGGTTCGTTTTCAGCCGGTTGTGAAGATCCTCGCCAAGCTTCTCGAGAACAAAGTTTGGACCCCATTGAGGCTATGCACGCGGCTATCTATCTACGAGCGGTCAATACACGTAGCCGTTCCATATTTGGTTTTCGAACCGTCATATACTTTCTACGTGTTTCTGTCTAGCACGACACTTCATCATCAACTTTGACTGTTTCAAAGTTTAAGTAAGTGGATTTCAGTGTCTAGTGATCTTTTTGACTACCCTAGTTGTTATAAGATATAAAAGTAGTTTTGAGAGTAACTACAACGCTTCTGTTCGTGTAGTTCTCATCTTGGTTCTCATTGATTACTCAATTCCCGCCATGTCGCTCGTTCAATCTTTTTCCAACAAAACAAAGATTCATATCATCTTAGGAGTTCAAACACCATTGTATAAAGCTAGTACACCATGTCTGGGATCAAGTATCACCCCTCTGACAAGTATATCTCTTCAAAACTTCTTTAGTTTCAAATATTCTATTCCCGCTATCTTGGTCCACTTTTTGAATGGGATTATAGGACTGTAAGTAGTCGATTTGAAGCCCTCCGTCCTTGGTTAATTTTTTTTATAATTCTTAGCTCGACTCACGATCGGAAGACCGTGGGTTCGATTCCTGCTTCGACCAGATATTTTTCCCGAGAGAATTTATCTGGTTGAAGCCGGGATGATTCTGCAACCGTGTTAGGAATCACACGTTAAAAGGTAAGACCTCGTTAGTCCTTGGCGCGCACAAGTTTCTCAACTTCTGAGAGTTGTCGTATGGGGGCGACAGCTGCTTAACGGAAAAACAGATTTTGAACAGATTTTTTTTTAGCTCAGTGTTTTATGACCATTATGTCTCAAAAGACAATAGGTGTAAATGTGGAGAATGTGGTTGGAGGATATTAAGAAGTTTTTCACAGAAGTTGTGATACATTCAGCTACGAGCTCTTCTTTTGAATCAGTATAATGGTTTTGCTATATGATGTGTCCATGGTTATTCAGCTAGTATTAGTTGTGTTTCTTTTTGATATATTTTCTGATTTGGCTCTGTACTAATGATTTTAGTATTTTCATAACTGGTTCAGGGCCCGTATATGAAGTTAACGATTTGTTAACACCTTCATCAACTTTGTCATTGACTGGTATTCTGAAAGATTATATCGGTCTACTACGAGTTGGCAGATGATTCACTTTTTCGCAGCATTTCCAGGCCAGCTACGGTAATGCCACTCTTGACTTTATCCATGAAGCGAAGACATAAAGGCCACGTAGATCACAACCTGACATTGAAAAAGATTTTGCTTCACATTAAGGGTAACGTAGGGTACGTTTTCAAACGGTCAAACCGGCCCCCATCGCGGCTATGTATATTGACGGAGCTGAGCAATACACATTGCCGTTCCTTATTCAGTTTTCTACCGTCAAATAATTTCTGCTTGTTTCTGCCAAGCATGACTGTTCATCATCAAATTTTTGTCTCACTTCAACTGTAAGTGGATTTTGGTGTCAAATGATATTGTTGACAGTTATTCCAAGATGTCAGATGTGAATTTAGTTTATTCAACTGTAACTGCAATGTTTCAATTTGTGTAGTTCTCAATGTTTTCTCAATTCTTCTTCCTATCTCTTGTTTCATCTTTTGCTACGAAACATTCATATTACCTTATGTCCCT